TCTTCTGGATAAAGGTTGGTTGCTGTTGATTATCTTACCACTTCTCAGGTTCATAAAACAGCAAACTTCTTATGTTCCTGCGTTTCTTGGATGGCTATGTCTTGACAATCCTTAATTCTGATATCCAACTATTGGTCCCATCAGGTGTGCCAATTTGTTTCCAGTGATTTCTGGAAAACAACCGCTAGTCTTCCAAACTATCGAATAGTCTTTATTAACGCTACTCAATCTCTTTGGTAACTCACAGGATCGACTAGATTGATCCTAGGACTCCTTGGATATCAAGGTTACTCTCACAATCGAACAATTATTCATGGGTGCTATTGTATATATGTTTGGTTTGTTTCGATCCCTCTCTCTAAGAGTTTAAGAATGTGGTCAAAATGTATGTGAAAACTAAGTTACACGAATGATTGCTAATTGTAATGCTAATTGAAAAGACATAGAAAACTGTATGAAAAATGAAGTAACTGATTTCGATCCATAAAACATTTAACACAAAAGGTTTCTGGAATGTAGAAGTTTAAAATATGAAGAAAGCGTTTAATGCAAGAAATCTAGAAAGGAGTTTAAGTGAAAGTACAGGTTTGAAGAATAATGCTATGAAAGTAAAGATATTGAAAGCGTAAAAGTTCTCTGAAACATAAAGTGCTTCGAAATGTAAAGAAAGCAGTAAAATGTAAGACTTTGAAGAAAGGACTTTGGAATGAAAAGACAATAGATAAAGAAACTTGTAAATGTTGCTCGACAAAAAGAAAAAGAAGGAAAGTGCTGGAAATAGTAAAAAGGCTTTCATTAAATTAAAAATACATGGTGCTATCATACATACATCTCTCTTGCATTCGTTTCCCTTGCCATGTGGTAGTTTGAATGTTATTGAGTATTTTGTATAACAGATATGACACACTGAAATCCTAACACTAAGACTTCTATTTATACTAATTCGACCCTAACGGTCTCGCTACAAGATCATGCCACGTTTCGAACATGCAAGATAATGTTCCTTTCTTCTTTCCACGTGTCCTCAAATGCTCCAACGCATAACTTTCAAACTTTGAAAGTCCCGCTTTCACTTAAATTTCAAATGCTTTGGTGTTCTTCTGCTTCGAACGCTCTTCTCAGATTTAGCTTCACTGCTGTTTCGAGACCCCTTTGAATACGCTCCCAAGATTACCGTTCGAAGCTTCAAACTTTGACACACTCATTCGAAACACTGGTTCTGCAATTTCGAACGTGGTGTTTTAATTCCATTTCGATCATAACTTCTAGCTCTTTTTGAATTCCAAATAACACTATCAAAATCTTCAGCCAACAATTGCATTAGGTTAACATTTGTTGTTCAAATCTCTCTCCATTAAGGCTCTGATATTTGATTTGATATCCATTTACAAACTTGCCAAATTTGCTTAATTTCAATCTTTTTTGCACATGATTCACTTGATACGAATTTGATGATGGCCAGCTGCATAATGGAATCTGAAATCAACACAAGATTTTGGTTATCGATGCCTTTTGATTTTTATTTGATTTATTTAAATCAAATTAATTCAAATAAAATCAAAATAATTAATAAAAAAAATGATATGGACACATGTCCAAGGCTAGAGCACGTGGGCAACAATGTAAACTCAAAACAAGTGAAAAAGAATGGGCCCATTTGACAAAATTTGAAGTTTTGGGGATAGTTGACTTTTGGCAATTTTGCAAAAAGGTCCAACTTCAACAATGCATAACTTCTTCAATTTTAAACTTTTGGAGATGTTCTTGGACTTTCTAGAAAGCTTGAGATGTCCTCTAATCAACCCTTTTGGTCTCATCTCATTTTGATATTCCATGCTCAAGTTAGAAGCTTTGACAAAAAAGGTGTTTTTGTTGACTTTCAAAAATGACCTATAATGTCCAAATTCATAACTTCTTGTGAGTGCATTTTTTGATCTTGGGATATGAAGATGGATCGTAGGGAATTTCATCCTCTTCAAAATGAGCTTTGGATGGGTCATTTATCATAAAGTATGAGAAAGTTATGCTTGGTCAAAGTTGAGTTGACTTTTCCTACAAAATCCTAATTTAGCAACTTTTGAATCTTGATGAATTTTGAGCAACCCTTGATGAATCATGACCAGCCCTTTATCAAATGATGAAATATCCTTCAAAATGAAAATGTTGACAAAAAATCTTGAAGTTTGACTGTTTGTAGGTCACAGTTGACTTTTGCCCTAGCACAGTCGATTTTTGGACCTTTGGGCAATTGACTGAGCAAACTTCCTCTGCAAGGCTTGAAATTTGACATGGATGATCTTGAGAACATATTAGGACATTAGGGAGTACTTGAGGTCATTTGGACTCAAGGATCTTGATGCAACACAAAACCCTAATTTGGGGTAGACTGCCTTAGGAGATAGCTTGTCTGACCAATTCTTGAGTAACCTTGAGCAACTTGGAGATTTTTCTTGCAATGTTTTGAGGAATATGGGAGGACAAATTTTGGGGTACAACAGGAGGTCTATTGGCAGTTGGGATGTGACTTATGCTTTTGATTTTGACTTTGCTTGTGCTCAGACAAAATGAATTTGGGGGCTCAAGGAGCTGACTTAGTGATTAAAATAACCTTTATGAGAATAGATAACAAAGCTTTTCGTCATTTCATCCAAAAATAGTAATATCTAATGGATAAAGCTTCGATTTTGTGTGTAGAACTCTGATCATGTGAAGATTTGGAAGTAACATAGCCTGTCAAGTAGCTGGTCATGAGATTTTCCTCAGATTTGCTTCAAAAGAAAACTGCTTCGAATGGCTCAGCTTGGATTCGAAGCAAGCTGTTTCGAAGGGGATCCACATTCCAATCGAAGCTTTGCATGCAAGTACTTTTGTCCAATCGAAGATTTATTTTTAAGGGGTCACATGTGGCCAAACAAAAGGTGCATGTAAGAGGCTCAAATGTCCAAACGAAAGATTTGACTAAAACCTTGTGCTGAAGGATTCATGTGCCCAAATGAAAGGTTTGACTAAAACCTTGTGCTGAAGGATTCATGTGCTCAAACGAAGGGTACATACTGGAGGCCAAAATGCTCAGATTCGAAAGAGGCACCAAGGAGGCAAAGAGTGCAAATCGAAGGATGCTAAAAAGGGAGCCTTTTGCCTTGGAATCGAAGGAGGCTACAAAAGGCTTTTTGCCTTGTGCCTGCTGGTCTTGTGGGCGCCTCTTGCGTGCAAGAAAGAATTTGTGACCCAATCGAAAACTTGTATGCAGCAAAACTTGTCCAAATCGAAGCAGGCTTGCAGACAGCTGATTTTGAGCAATCGAATGAGGCTTGTAGGCAGTAAACTTGGGCAATCGAAAGAGGCTGAGAGGTAATCGAAGGGTTTGTCTTGCAAGGGGCACGTGTGGCCAGCATGTCATGGCCTTCGATTGCAAGCATGCAGGCAGCACACTTGTTCAATCGAAAGGCTGAATCGAAAAAGGCCTATTTTCTCCAAATTTGTCAAAATGTTATTTTTATTTGTTTTCTCCCTTTTTGACAGTTTCCTTTTAATCTTGGTACTGAAAAATCCCAAAGCACTTGTGCAAACCTGAATCCTGAGAATCTTTGTGAGAAAACCCTTAAGAATTGAGAAGGCAAATTTTGGGGTACAACAATGAAAAACACTGAAAATTTGAAATATCCAGTACTAGAAATTTCAAATTTTCAGTTACGTTCATATGACACGGTAAAAACTTTAAAATTTAATGAAATTTCCAGTATTTGCGTGAAATTTCCGATACAGACTGAAAAATTCAAAAATTCCGATATATTTCAGAGACAGTTTCATAAATATATCATGTATGGAGGGTGACATGTATAATATGAAGTGGCAAGTTAATTTCTCTTAGCTATGGGGTCAACTTTTAAAATATGCTTGAGTAATCAAATAATTAGCCCCAAAGTTGATGTCAAACATTTCAACTTGGCATAAAATAATGCCAAAGCAAGTTTAAAACCTTCAATATATCCCATCCCCAAGTTCACTTCAAAGGATGTGCTTTAAGCTAATACAGTCAAACTCCACTCTCATTTGAGCCAGTGACTTGTGGTTTAACAAACAAAAGATCATGATAAGAAAGTAACATTCCGCATATATCTATTTACATCCAACAGGATGACCAAAAATGTAAATTAAACATATTAGGGTATTAGATTCAATGACTTCACTATTTTGATAACTTTGTAACATTAGACAATTTAAAATATAAATAAATAATTAAAATATATTATTTATTGAGAGATGAAATCCCTAACCCTCTCATGATCAACCTACTATCGAAGACAGTTCTCTCCTGGCGGTCTCCAACCTTTGCTAACTTGTTTTCATCACCAGACGTCTGTGTCTCTGCTTATACACATTGCATGTTCTCTTGTCCAGTTCACAATATATATGTTACATTTTTCATTTTTGGTGTCAATTCCATTGATAAGAACTGGTTCAATAAATTGCAATTTTTTATTTTGATTGATTAAAGAAAGAAGAATATGAACATTGAGAGGTTTTTAAATAATCATCCTATTATTATTCTTCGCCAATGTGAAGGAATAAGGGATGGACTTTATACATAGCAAGGTGTAGTTTATGCTGTCCTTTTATTTGTGTTGTGTCTTTCCTTTAAATTTTGATTTCGGATAGAGACATGTTATGTTCTTTTGGTTGTTCTTGATTAATAAAACAAAATAAAAGCATCAAGACTTAATGGATGCTATAAAAGCTACAAGCAATGTCTGTAAGGGCAGATAAACTGAAGCAAGCATTGACCCTCCTCTATAGTTAAAATGAAAGTTCTACAGACTTCATCATGTCAAAGTAACTAATCATAAACTCCTACTAAGAAACTAAATGATAACAAACTCTAACTAACTAATTCACAACATAATTCATATTCTGTAACATGAAATGACCCCATGCTAATGAAAGATGCAGATTGAGCAATCAAGTTTGACTTACGAACCGAGTACAAAATACTTTAAGCCTCACCAATGGAATTGAGCTCCCAAGCTTTGGGATCCTTCACAAGAAATGCTGCAATTGTCGCAAACTGCACAATACTAAATAAGCAAGTAAAAGCAGAAACAGTTTCAGAACAATTGCTTGCATCACAATCCAACCAGACCAGCTCAAATTTTTAAAGACAACTAAAGGTAAACTTTCAATGATAAATTTCCAACAGAATTCTAGGAAGTCAATCATCATGGATTTGACTGGTGCACACAAGACATAAACAGCTGTATGATACAGTTAAATACAATTCGAGGGAATATTCTGACTTTTTTTACTAGCAAGTATGTTTGGGATACTACATTGGTAAAATTGAACCAGACTGAAAAAATAATCCCTCCCCCCAGCAAAAACTGAACCAAACAACAACGATTAAAAATAATCCCTCCCCTCCATTCTACTCAACCAAATAGGCCCTTAAGATAAGTTGTATCTTTTTGTTTTCCATTAGACAAAGTGAAGCAGAACATAAAAGAGTTCACCATGCATTGCAAGGATAGATATAGGGTGAACAAACACACCACATGTTTGAGCAGTTCTTCTATGATTTCCTTATTTCAACAATATTAGCTGGTTAATCAACCTCAATCAAAATGTGTAGAGAATTCATTGATACGCTCATAGTTTGTTCTTACTCACAATTTTTCTTCCTTAAGATTGAAAGATTAACAATAATCTCAGTTGATATCAGAAGTAAAATTAAGTATACAAATCAATTGCAAAATAATTCATATCTTGTAGGCATTTTGCAAAATAATTCATACCTTGTATGGATCTTTTATCAATCCTTTGCCTCTAATATAACCACGGCAACCGGTACTATCTTCTAGACGTTTCAAAGGAATGTGCGTTTAATTCTGAATCCTTAACCACGTGCGCCATCCTAGTTATCAAATATCCTTAAAAATCTAAAATTTATTAAATAAAAATACTCAAAATAATTGATGTTAAAAGTAATATCATTATCTAACACCTCATTTATTTAGACAATACTCCGAACAAGATGTATGATACTTTTACAACGATACTTGGTCTAGAAAGTAACAACTAAATCCGCAAAAACAAAAACAGCAACATAATAAGCAAAACATTTTCATTTGGGCAGGTAGTGTGAGTCCAAAATCCAAAACATGGTCATATTAATTTGAGACAGTTATTGTTTCAGGTGGTTTGTTTCAGCAACAGAACAGCAGCACCTACTACAAACTTGTTCCAAATCTCCCATCTCAATCTACCCTTTATACTAATTTGTTGCTGCAAGAGTTTGAAAGTAGGAAAACCTACACAAAACTCATAAAACTAAAAATTTCTCACCTCTACAACAACCTTGGTCAAAGCAAGAGACAAAAACAAACTGAGTAATGCTATTACTTTGATGATGTTATTTGGTTGTTATTCTCCAACAACTCTTCCCTTTCCACCTTCTCCTTCCCGCTTAACCCAGCCTTCACATGCGATGGCTTCTCTTCAGCAGCACTCTGCGACCCTGTCAACCTTGCCAACATCACAAAAGTCATTCCCCCGAGAACATTGTTCACGCACCTGATAGCCACAACTGAGGTCTTGAATACCAAGGGATTAAGCACTTTCTCCAACAAGAACTCAGCACCATTCAGAGTTTGGTACCTGAGGTTGCTGCTGAAACCCATATGAGCCGCCCAAGTGAGACCATTCAGCAATGTAGGAGGAGGCTTATTTGGGGATTCAAAGCTGGGATCCATCTTCTTCCTCATACTGACCAACCCATTTGAAATTGCAGTTCCAACAAGACCAGCACCAAGCCCAACAACAGCAAAAATGGCTCCTTTATATACCAAGGTTCCAAACCTATCCAACAAACTATAGGCACCAGGTTCAAACATGTGACTCTTCGGACAAGACGCAAAAATTGCAGGCACTTTGGCTGAAGCGGATCCTAATGTCGGTGCTAATAGATACATGAGTGTAAAATTGAGAATAGCCCCGACGACAAGGGTTGAAAATACAAAGTCAAGTTCATTCAACCCAAAATTAGGCCTTGTAGCCATGTCACCTAAAACAGCAGAAGTGACACCAACCACCTCTTCACTCAGAACCTTGAAAGGAAATTGTGGATCAGCAGCAACCCTTGATCTCCAACCATTCAGAAATAAACCCAAAATCCCAAAAGACGAATCTTTGGAATTTGAATTTCCATCATCACCTCCCCAACTTCCATCTCCATCACCACCACCACGACCAACCCCACCGCCGCCAACCCCTCCAGTGAAGTTAAATTTCAATCTGTGAGGCAAATGGGTTGGGTTCATAACATTTATAGAACGGTTATGAAATAGAGGATATGATGATGATGGTGATGGAAACAAAAGTCCACGGCTGTGACCAGAGGGAGAATTAAAACGCAGAAGAGTCATAGTTGCCATTTGATCTGTGACAAAGCAAACATCAAAGTCAGAAACTTTTAAACAAAACCAATAAATCCCACATCATGCATGCATTCATGAATCATAACAACAACAAAAAATCATCATTCATTCATAATCATATAAATAAATAAATAAAATTTGAAACAAACATCAAATATTTGAAAAAGGGGAGCATGATGAATGTAGTGTTTACCTAAACCTAGATGGTGGAAAGAGTGAGAGAACAGCAAGTTCATGAAACCCTAGGCAATTGAATACTTATATAGTAGGGTTTAGGAAATCAACATGGTCTTCATCTATTGGTGGTGGTGTGATGATGAATGTGACCAACATGGACCACAAAAACTTGGAGCCTTTGGATTCATCTGATCCACACATAACTATGGTGTATCCTACATAGCAGATTCATTCTCTCTCCCTCATAGGGCAGATATTTCCTTTCACCTGAGCATATTACAGAAAGCATCTAGAATTGGCAGAAAAAAACAAAATAGGAAGAAAAACAAAAACAGTGCAGTGAATTAGAAGAGAGAGAAAGGTGAAAGATTTGTATCCTTGGAACTGCATTGCCATCGGAGTAGTTGCAGAACCGTCGCCGGGAAAATGGTCCGACCTGGGTGATTCGTTTCTGATTGATGAATGACTGTTGTAACAGAGTTCAGCCAAATTGAGTAATGACTCGTCTTCAAAGTTAGAGAACTTTTGGGAACCTTGCCTTACACATACCTATTGGAGAGGATGTTAACCCAAAGTTTTCCATTTTATTAGAGCATATCTCATACTAATTTTCCAAGAAAAGATGTGTTGTCATCTTTGGTTGATCGAATTCAAAGACCTCCTTTCCATCTTTTTGGGGGATGCAATCTTGTGACAACATGTGTTTCTCGATTGAAGAGTATGTCAAATTATTACATAAATACTTATAGTCGTGGACGTCGAAGTGTCGAAATAGTGTCTTGATAGAATATTGACTTAGGCCTATTTTATAGTATTGGTAAATTAGGTATTTTAGTTTTTTTTTGCAGTTTTGGGTTTTGGTTTATGATGCAAGTAAGTTCATTATAAATAGAAAGATTAATCCATATTTTGTAATAACTCATTGAGTATTCACATAATTTGTAATTACAAGTGAATAATATTTTCCACGGGTAGAGAGCTACTCTGTAGAAAATCATCATCCTCTCCTTATTTTGTCAAATCCAAATTTTCTTCCTTCCTCAATTTTTCATTATTATTGTGTATTGATAACAATCTTGTTCATTAAGATTGATTGAAATTCTCCATAGATTTTGGTGGATTTCCAACATTTGATATCTAAAGCTCCGGTTGCGTGATTCAAGACAAGAAAATCACGATGACAATGGATCATTCAAATGGGCATTTTCCAACAAGTATTCCAATTCTGAAAGTTGATAACTATGAGAATTGGTACAAGCAGACGAAGGTTGTGTTTTATTGTCAAGATCTTTGAATTCTTGTGAAAGAATGATTAGAACCGCTTGCAGAAGAAGCGATAGATGAAGAAGAGGCAGCACACAAAGAATTGAAGAAGAAGAATTATAAAGCTCTCTTTATAATTCATCAATGTCTGAGTCCAGACAATTTTGAAAAGGTAAGTGATGTAGAATTTGCGAAAGAAGCTTGGGAAATTCTGGAAAAGTCTTTTGGAGGTGCAGAAAAGGTAAAAGAGGTGAGGTTACAAACTCACAAAAGAACATATGAATTGCTTCAGTTGAAAGAAAGTGAAAGCATAATTAATTTCTTCACTAGGGTTACGAAACTGCTGAATCAAATCAAGGTATGTGGAAAAGTGTTGACAACAAGATCAGTTGTTGCAAAAATCCTGTCAACTACGTGGCGGTATGTGGAAGCTCGACTACGTGGCGGTAGCCATAGAAGAGTCGAAGAACCTGTCAACATTGACAAAAGAAGAGCTTCAAGGGACGCTTGAATCTCATGAAAAAAGATTGGTTGAAAGAGCTGCAGGCAAGTCGAAGAGTGATGTGGCTTTGTAAGTGCAGTCAGCAAGAGAAAAGAAAAGAAAAGGAAAGTGGTTCGATAATAAAGGTAGAGGAGGCTACAACAATTTGACTGGTAGAGGAGACCAGCAGGAAGGAATTGTGTCGAATTAGAGAAGACCTTCATACTAAGGCAACCAAAGAGGTGTTGTTGGAGGTAGAGGAAGAGGTGGTGGTCGAAAACTTGACAAAAGTCACATTCAGTGTTTCAACTGTCAGAAGTATGGTCATTATTCTAGTGATTGTCCAAAAAAACAAAAGAATCAAGAAAGTGATGCAAAGTTTACAAAAATTGAAGAAGAAGGATGATATTGATGGCCATAACTAGAGATAAAGAGAGATTCAAGGACCAATGATACTTGGATTCAGGATGCTCATAACACGTGTCTGGGAAGGAAGATTAGTTTGTCAATATAAAATCTGCGATGAAGAACATGGTGAAATTCGAAAATGACAATACTCTAGCAGCTGAAGGTATTGGAGACGTTTTAATTATGAGGAAAGATGGCAAGAGGCTAGTAATTTCCAATGTGTTGTACATACCATGCATGAAGAGCAATTTGCTCAGCATAGAGCAATTGGTCGAAAAGAATTATAAAGTTTCGATCAAAGACAATATGATGAGAGTCGTCAACGCAAGAGGAAGATTAATCTTGAAGGCTCTTATGTCTCAGAATAGAACCTTTAAGATTGAACTAAATGTGATAGAGCACAAGTGCCTTGCGACTGCAGCTAGCAGGGATGAATGTATATGGCATTATCGACTAGGCCATCTCAACTTCAAAGACATCCGAAATTTGAATAGAAGAAATATGTTTTCAAGGTTGCCAGAAGTTAACATACCAAACAAGGTAGGTGAAGAATGTATGCAGGAAAAGCAACACAAGAATAGCTTTAGCAAGGATACAGGAAGCAATTCGAAGGTTATTCTTGAAATTATATACTCTGATGTATATGGTTCAATCCAGGTGGATTCTACTGGAGATAACAAATACTTTGTTACATTCATAGATAATTTCAATAGAAAATTATGGAATTATCTGATCAAGAAGAAAAGTGAAGTGATCGAGGTATTTTCCAAGTTAAAGTTTATGGTCGAAAAATAAAGTGGTCGAAAACTCAAGATTTTAAGGATTGGTGGTGTTGGAGAATATGTGTCGAATGACTTAGACATGTTATGTGAGAAAGAAGGGATTATGCATGAGATGGTGCCACCATACACTCCACAGCAGAATGGAACCGCGAAAAGGAAGAATCAAACCATCAAGAAATATGGTGAGAAGTATGTTGAAAGGCAAGCATTTGCCTAAGGAGTTTTGGGGTGAAGCTGTGTCGAATGCAACATACATCTTGAACAGGTGTCTGACGGAGAAGCTAGAAGGAATTACGCTAGAAGAATGTTGGTATGGTGTTAAACCTAGCTTGAGCCATTTGAAAGTGTTTGGATCTATAACACATAGGCATGTGCCAGTTCAGTTGAGAAGAAAACTTGATGACAAGTCAGTTCAAATGATCCTAGTAGGATATCATTCAATTGGAGGATACAAGTTGTTCGACCCATTGAACAAGCAAGTGGTAATCAGCAGGGACGTGATCATAGATAAGCTTAAGGAATGAGATTTGACTAAAAATGTAAACAAGGATTCAGTGAGAATATTTTGTGAAAAACCAACCACTGAAGTCGAAATAGTAGAAGTTCGACAGGAAGAAGTGAGAGGTAATGTAGACCCAAGCAGGCCTCAGAGAATAATGAGACACATGCCTGCAAGATTGTGTGATTACATCAGATGATGCAGTCGATAATGAAGGTGAGATGGTATATTATGATTTCTATGCAGATGTAGAACCAGTTAATGCAACTGAGGCATTGAAGGATTCAAAGTGGGCGAAAGCTATGAATGAGGAATTGAAGTCCATCGAAGTTAACAACACTTGGTCACTTGTCAAATTATCTCAAGGCAATAAGCCAATTGATGTCAAATAGGTATACAAGTTGAAGTTGTGTCCCAAAGTGGAAGTAACTTGACACAAGGCAAGACTTATGGCGAAAGGATTTCTTCAGAAAGAATGAGTCGACTTTGATGAGGATTTTGCACTTGTTTCTAGGATCAAAAAAATCAGGTTGGTTATTAGTCTATCATAAATAAACAGTTGGCACATATGTAAGATGGATGTAAAATGTGCATTCCTGAATGGACTCTTAGACTAAGAAGTTTATGTTGCACAACCAGTTGGGTTTGTGAAGCATGGCGAAGAAAGAAAGGTATACAAGTTGCATAAAGTCTTGTATGGACTCAAACAAGCTCCAAGAACTTGGAATAAGAAGATTGATAGTTTTCTAAGGGAGAAGTAATTTGTGAAGTGCACAACTGAGAGTGGAGTATATGTAAGAAGAAGCAATAGTGAATTTCTTATACTATGTCTCTATGTCGGTGACTTGTTGATAACAGGTAGCTGTAAAAAGGAGATTGAAGACTTCAAAGGTGATTTTAGCAAGGAATTTGAAATGTCAGATATGGGCAACATTTCATACTTTTTTGGCATTGAATTCTACAAGAGTAGTAGAGGTTTGATGATGCATCAAAGAAGATATACAGGAGAAATTCTCAAGAGATTTGAGATGGAAGAATGCAACTCGACTTCGACACCTGCTGAACCAAGATTACAACTCTCGAAAGACTCCGATGAAGATTATGTCAACTCAACCCAATACATAAGACTTATTGGGTCATTAAGGTACCTTTGTCACACAAGGCCTGATCAAGCATACAGTGTAGGTATGGTGAGTAGATTCATGCAGAAGCTAAAGGTGTCACATCTAGCAGCGACGAAGAGGATACTAAGGCATGAAAGGAACCCTCGACTATAGGATTTGATTTCCAGCAACTGATATAGTAAAAGAATGAAAGTATGTGGAATACACTAACTCAAGTTGGTGTAGTGATGTTGAGGATTGAAAATCCACAGCTGGTTATATATTTATGTTAGGCGGTGCACCAGTAGCTTGGAGTTCGAGAAAAAAACCAGTAGTGGCACTATTATCGTCTGAAGTAGAGTACATATGCACTTCTCTTTGTGCATGTCAAGCAACATGGATAGTGAATTTGGTCTAATAGATTACAGGGAGGGTCATGGAGAAATTTCTATGAAGATCAATAACATGTTAGTTATCAATCTAGCGAAGAATCTGATAGCACATGGCAGAAGCAAGCACATAG